ATATATATATATATATATATATATATATATATATATATATATATATATATATATATATATATATATATATATATATATATATATATATATACAAGTAAAATAGCTATTTAAATTTCAAACTTATCTGCATTTAGAATCCCTTGAAATAAAATATTCCAGAAGTCCTGGGCCTGGTGGTCAAAATGTCAATAAAGGTATAATTTAAAAACAATTAAATTAGAAACTAAAAATCCAGATTTGAAACTTTGTAGCATCAGGGTTCTAATAAAATTTTTGAAAGAAGTAGGTGGCTCATGAATTGCTGAAGGTAGCACTTACTGAGGGGGGGGGGGGGAGGGGTAGGTGGTCCAATGGCATCTCCCTGTGAAGATTTTGATCAGGTTTTTATCAATGATGATTTATGCTGAAATAATGGTGACAAATCTACATAACCACTGAACGTGCGAAGCTTGAGTGGAATTTGCACTTGCATCTTCAGGTGTCTAGATCGACTGCCATCCTGCAAGATGAGCATGAGATCATCGTGAAAATTTAAATTAAGACTCGCTTCAAATGCCCATTGACTCGATAGCTCAATGGGTCTGTGGCAGTCTAGAAACTTGAAGATGCGAGTTTGAATCCCGCTCGAAACATTGTTGTTCTCTGCAGTACTGTCAGAGTAATATGAAACTAGTTTTTCATATCTCAGGATGGTTCTGAAATAGTCTGCAGGTAACCCAGTCTTGTTTCACATTTTTAGGCCTTTTAGGCAACTGGTGGTAAAATATGTGTGCCTTATATTGAACAAAAATTAGGGACAGATCACTGACATGCAGGCATTTTCTCTTTATTTCTTAGTAAACACAAAAGTTGACATTCGTTTTCATGTGATGAGTGCTCACTGGATACCCTGTTGGATCAGACAAAAACTAGTGCAAGAGGTACAAGAATTCATCTCAGGGACATGCTGGCTAGGGACGACTGACAAGAACTTGTTGTGGGCCCCTGCCATCATGGGCATTGGAAAAGATAAAAAATATAGATTTTAATTTTGAAAAATTAATCAAGATTAACATATTACAATTTATATTTCAAAAATCCAAACTTACGAAAATATTACCGAAAAATTTAACAAATTATATTCGGTACATTAATTGGAAAGTTTAATACTGAAAAATGGTATTTCCGGAAAATTTTCTTACTCCTCCCTGTTTGCCAACAATTTTGGGGAACGATACTTTCCAATATAACATGTTACTGCAACCAAAGATCGTTAAAACCTTTAATAAATGGCACTCTTTAACATATTGCGTTAAAACATAGCATGTAGCAACGTGCAGTGCATATAATTTTTAAAGTGGGCATTTTCTCAACAATCGGTTTTAGACAATCAGAAATATAGATAATTCTACCGATTTTGATTTCTACCAATAAGGCAAAAATCGGCCCGATGCCGATACCGATTATCAGTCAATCACTATACTTGTTGGAACAACTTGTTGCGAGTCTGTTGGCCTCATCAACCTTGTTACAAGATGATAACAACTTGTTCCAGATTTGTCAACAACTGGAAACAAACAGTGCAAACACACCTTGTTGACAAGCGGCGAGATTTTTACACGCACACGCGTGTCTTACCTATGCTGAATTGTGCTTTTAATACAACAGCGGTCGACAACAGTAAAAATAAACTAATAAATCGTTCAAGGCTGTTTTCGTATATATTCTAGGAAAGCAGCCGCATCAATAAGGGAGGTGAACTGGTCGTACAATCAAGTCGTTTTAGAAATCAACAAAAGAACTTGATGGATGGTGTTCAAAAAGTTCGAGAAATATTGGAGAATGTTTCAATTATTCCGAATGAAACATCGGATGACAAGAAAGCAAAGATTACTGAATTGTATGTAAGATTTCTGTCGAAAGACAATGTGAGTTGTTGACAGTCGCAATCCTCTTCTTTGAGCTGGTTTGAATTTTTGAGAGTTTTGCCTTGTTTGACCGGTCACGAGATAGGAATGTTTTGCCGGATACCGGGTGGTACTGGACAACAGTATTAAATCAGATACTAATGGTGGCACTTGGACAATACACCAGAGCTTGAAATAACCGAGCTGATCAGCGATCAATGATCGGCAAGAAATTGCCGCTTATGATCGTCGGAAAAGCAGGGTTTCCAACCTGAAAAAGCAGGGAAAGTCATGACTGCCGATCACCATGATCGGGAACTTTGGGAACGTTATTTCAAGCCCTGATACACTGGAAAGAAATAAGGAAATAAGGAAATCCATACTATGGAACTTGCATTAGTACATCACTAAATCCATACTATATCCACAGTTTGGAAATTGCAATTAGCCTTTTCCCAAAAGAGATCACAGTGCATTCTGGGATCGTTTGGAGGGACAAAATATATGGTGACAGGCGTCAAATATGTGATAGAGTAGAAGTATCTAGTATCAAATATTAAATATTTAGACGACCAAAAATGAAATATCTCCTTTTTATATTAAACTTTTAATTTAAATGTGTGCTGCCATATTTCTTGTTCTTCCAACATGGGATTTGCGTGACTAGACCCAGGACTTTGGGAAATGGCTAATTAGTATGAACATAATTGGATTTCCATCCTATTTCCACGAAGATCCATACTATTTCCACGAAGATCCATACTATTTCCACGAAGATCCATACTATTTCCATAATAAGGATTTTGAAAAAAAAACTCCAGTGAATATTTCACTATTTTCCCTCGTAAAATTCAACAATTATAGGATGAGATTGAGCATGATATAAAATATTATCAAGCCCAAAGTTTCTGTTATCAACCGAAGCCGAAGGCCAAGGAGCTCCGGCGGATGCCGGTTTATCTTGAAAGTCCTAGATGTTCATATAACTATTTTCTATAATTTCTCATTTTTTAATTTTTATATAGGATCAAATCTGATCATGAACGACGTTTAAAGGAGAAGAAATTAAGATCGCAGAGAAAACAGGAGAGGTCCAGGAATGAATAGAACCACATTGTCCGATGGTAAGCTAGCTATAGCTTGAATATGTGCAGTAAAAACCACATAAACGAACCAGTGGATTAAGACCCATTTCCACTGAAGAAAAATTTTCACGGACAGAAAGTTTTCCCCAAAAGTCATTGTTGAAAGTTGATTTCCGACGGAAAATTTATCGCGGCCAAGCACATTTTACAAAAATTTTTTCTGCGGAAAATTTTCCTGAGTGGAAATGGGCTTAAATGTCTTTTGACCAAAAATGTCTTTTATTCAAAGTCTTACCTGCGAATTTGAAGATAGACATTATATAAAATAGGTTCAGTTATGACATACGAATCATATTAAACAACTTTGAACTTCCATACAGCATGTAAGACGACGTTTTCATACAAATTGACCTAAACTTGAAAAAGTGTCCGCCAACAATTAGTCAAGATGTCATTTACAATCCATCACAATCCTCGCCTAATCTCAACCATCCAGACTTCTGTACATGTTTTTTGTATTTGTTATTGTTTTATGGTGTGCTTGCAGCCATTCTTTTTGGGTTTTGTGCAAGATTCCTAAAGATTTGCGAGGGTCAAAATCAGTGACACTGCCCCTTTAACGTAAGAACCACCAGCCTGGCATTTAGGCAACTCAGAATACAAGGACCAGTTCAGGTTTCAAATGAGACTGGTCCTTCACTTTTATGCTTTACCTGAAATAGAAAACATTATCTAAGGGCAAGTGTAGTCAGGTATACATACAGTACTCAATTCAATTTTAAAAACGCAAAAACATAATCTCTTGTTAGTACACTAAGCAAGAATACATTTCATCAAATTCAGAGGCTTTTAAATAGCATTTATTAATGCAGTGCTGGAAAATGTCCGGCAGCGGCACCGGAAACTTTTAACAAAATATCTTCGCCAGAAATTTTCTTACATTGGGTCGTTCCAGAAAAGATCCACACTCCCCCCACGGAGGAAATTTCTGCTGTCCGAAGAGGGAGGGGAGAAAAAATTGTTTGTGATAATAGTAAATGTATTAGGACATCCGAAGGGAGTAGGGAGGTTAACTTCCAATTTCCTCCATGGGGGTGGTATGGATGTTTTCTGGAATGACCCATTTTGAAAGAGCTTTCAAGCAGAGTAAAATAATAATGTAGAGTGGATTGGAATGTGCAAGAAATTTTTGTCATGTTATACCTCCAACTCATTGCTACTTTCTTAACAACGATCCAGTTAAGAGCATAGCTAACAATTCTGTCGAAAGTAGACTTGGGTGTTGTTATCAGCAATGACCTAAAGTGGTCCCCTCACATCGCCAGCTGCACTGCAAAAGCCAATCGTATGCTTGGTTTTCTTCGTAGAAATTGTACGCAAATGTCTGATATTCGCTGCCGTAGGCTTCTTTATCTTGTTCTCGTCCGATCTCAGCTGTCATATGGTAGTGAGATCTGGGCACGTCAAGGATCGTCACGTGATCTTGCGATCATCGAGGGTGTTCAAAGACGAGCTAGTAAATTTATCCTTCAGGATTATGAGTTGCCATATCCTGAACGCCTTAAGAAGCTTAATCTATTACCAATATCCTACTGCATGGAACTATGGTACAGGGTACAATGATGTATTCCAACATTGTACATATACGTTGTAAACAACACCGAAACAACTTTTGGTAATTTACTATGACACAAGCTGAACATGGAGTTGGGGGAGCAGGGGCTTAAAAAGCAGTTAAAGCACAACATACTTCAACATGGAATTTATCAGAAGAGGTATGCGAATTTTGTATAAACAAAATAGGTAGTCATAACTAGTTATGTCCAAGAATGTTGGTCTTAGATAAAAATTATCACGATGTTTTTGACTGTGGCACTTGAATTCGTTTCTCGAAACAGCACGTTATGTTATAACTGGATTAATTCAGCTACATTCTATCCCAAATTTACTGCAATAGACAGGTTCAGATTTCACTTCCACTAGGCTTAATACGCATTTGATTGGTTAATCGGATAGATTAAATGCATCTGATTGGTTAATGGTAGTGGCAGTAGAATTCAAAATCTGAGCCTCTCCAATATTAAAAGTCACCCGTCAATTCTAATATTAACTAAATATGATCATTTACATACAGCCTCCATTCTAGCCAGCTTTAGCTGAATTGATCCGTCAGTATAAAGATATTGCTTATAAATAAAGAAATATAATGAATGCAGAAATGTCCATCAAAATGTGTACGTTGTAGGTATAGGCATAATATGTATAGATCTATATAGTTGGTCATGATTACTGGTTCGTGATAGAATATAGGCGATTAATTAAAGATAGATTTGTGGTTCGAGGTTGTATTGACAAATGATTCTGTGATTTGAACGGTGTGTTGAATCACATTGTTTTCACACTGAGTATCTGACGTCATTCCAAACAATATTTTAATCAGGGCCGTAGCTAAGCATGCATAGTTGGGGGGGTGTAGGCCAAAAATTTCCGAATGACGAAAAATATTTCCGAATATTTCATGGCATACGAAGCCACGAAGGTGTTTGCTATCCGGAAAATGAAAACGCAATTTACAAACAAAAATACTCATATTTTACGCACAGACATTACAGAAGCGTGCAGTTCCGTACAGAAGCGTGCAGTTCCGTAGGAAGTTCTTTTTGATGGAGGGTGGCGAGGGCCGAAGGCCCGAGGAAATTTTTAAATTTAGAGTCTCTCAAATGCCATTTCGTGGACTTTGGGGGAAGTTTTGACAGAATTCTGATGGTCAGAAAACAGAGTTTTAGCAGGTCGAAATTTACAATTAATTTGCTTACAATTTAGAAGAACTAAATGGGCGAAGGCGTATATGGGTAATACGATTCTTTGCGGTTTGTCATGGGTAATGTAGCCGCTTAAAATTAATCAATTGTCAGTATTTTAAAGATATATTGAGGACTGCCCCCTCCCTCCCCCGGTTCCTACGGCCCTGGAAAGTAATAAACCGAAAAACATTTACCGATCTACGATTTGTTAAATGTTATCCATGAAAATGCCGTGATTTTGTAAATCACTGTTTATGATGCTGACAATACATGCAATTTTATAATATTTTCTCTGTTTAAACAACTAAAATTTTGTTGTACTATTACTGGCGTAATTTTCCGAATGACCAACCTGATTTTCCGAATATGTTAATTATAAAAAAAGGTGGGGGGGTTAACCCCCCCCCCCCCCCAATACCCCCTTCGCTACGGCTCTGACTTTAATGTCAGTATATGATCACGGTTACCGAGACATTTTATCTGTAGTGAGATACTTTTGATGTATGGAAAAAAGTCACGGTTATTGACTCTGAGAAATTTTGTTTATTTCAGGATACAGAGTAGAGAAACACTGCGACAAAGATCCAGTTTATAAAGAGATCATAATGAAGTTACAACATAAGTAACTCTCATCAACAACATTTTAGTTGCGTTAAAAACATTGCTTGACTTTTGTATTACACATGCTGACTTATTTCAATGCATTAAAAATATCCTATTATGTCGGCAGTTTACCTCCCACATGCATAATGATTTATCAGAGAATGTTACATAACCAGTGGCGTAGCCAGCCTGAGTATTTGCTCCTGCTATGCAAATATTTCTGTGTTTATAGACTGTAAAAACAATGAATTTCTAAAGAAATAATAATAATAATAATAATAATATTTATTCAGGAAGCTCCACTCACCGAAGTGTTTTTCAGGGAGGTCCTGCAATATATATCTATATATAAATAATGAAATTAATAATGAAATAAATAATGATAATGCTTTGAAATTTACATAGCAGGAGTAAATTTTTAGGCTGGCTACGCTACTGTACATAACTGTCTGTTGATCAAATAAAAAGGGTGAAATGCGCAGATCATATAAATGTGTGTCATTCTCCTCCAACATAAAACTTTTCGATTCTGAAGAATTACATTTGAGAACACGTGAGATACACAAACTTTTTTAATTTTGCAAGACTGGTTTTATGGTTATGTCACATGGTCTTGCATACCAAACATTGTTGCAGTCTTAAAACAAATGAATGTCTGTAAGACAAGTCATTTTATAATACTGAAATATCTTCTTAATAAGATAATAAAACACAGTATATTCATATAACAACCCAAAATCGTATTACTATAACACAACCTTGACTGAGTATTGGGTTTTCAGTTTGAACAGTGAGACAATAGAGACCTTAAGATTGACGTTTACGGCAAACGTCAAACCGCTAGCGAAGTTTTTGATTTTACAGCTCTATTATTGTAGCTTTTACACCAGTTTTTGAAATATGTTAAACTGATTAAACTTCTGCTCTTTAGCAATGATTTAAGAAAGAAAATTAACCACTAGTCATGCCATTCACCAAAGCAGTAAATTAAGATTTGGCGTTTGAAGTTGACGTTTGACGTATAAATTTCATGCTTTAACGACTACAAGCCCTCGTAGCAGTTCAGGCATGAAATCTATACGCCAAACGCCAACTTGAAACGCCAAATCTTATTTTACTGCTTTGGTGAATGGCATGACTAGTGGTTAATTTTCTTTCTTAAATCATTGCTAAAGAGCACAAGTTTAATAAATTTAACATATTTCAAAACTGGTGTAAAAGCTATTATATAATAGAGTTGTAAAATCAAAAACTTCGCTAGCGGTTTGACGTTTGCCGTAAACGTCAATCTTAAGGTCTCTAATAATACATTAGTTTCACTTGAATGAAAATCGATGTCATGCAGGGTCATGCATGCATATGTTGATCTTGTGACTGTCTCAAGGTATTGATATAACGTTTGTTTTGGCAAATGCTTCACTGATTTTCAAAATGTCTGAGGTAGTAACCGGTGTTGTGAAACTTACATTTGGATTTTTAGCGAACAAGATTCGCAGTGGAATTGCAGAACGTTTGAAAGATGGCGACGTCACGGACGAAGAATGTCGGCGCTTGATCGTCAGAGAACTTGACGATATCAAAAGCAAGCTAGATGGCTTGGCAAGAAAGGATTTACTGAGCAGCCTTTGTTTTCTATATACAAGACGGAGTCAATAGGTTATATCAGTCCCTATTTCAAGCGGATTTAAGTGAGAATACAGCAGAATCGCCCGAACAAGCAACTTTAGTCGAAGCTGCGTCATTGAGAGACACTGGTACTGATTCTCCTATCAACGAAGTTATTGCTCTTATAAATGCCATCACGTCATTGAAAATACGTTCCAAGGAACGCTTTAAATCTGCCATAGAATCGTTCAAACTCGCGGGCGAAAAAGCGACCGAAGCGTTCTGTAACGAAGCGTTGTCCATCGAAGATCGAATTCAAGCGTCGCAAGTCAGAATGATGGCGAGAATTTTGGAAAATTTGAAAGACCCAGAAGCAAGCGCAAGTGATTGCTTGCAGTATCTTAAACAACTTCATGATATCGGAGCTATTCGAGAAATATTTTCTGTTCTGATTAATGGAGGAATGAAGTCGAGGTTAAATAAAACGAAGCGACTTAACAATGCCTCGTCAGTTCAAGACATGAATCAAGTATTGTTTGAGTTCATCAAAAAGTTCGCGAAATCGTCATTGCTCACGAGCATGTTGGCTTGGCCGACGATTTTGCTCGGTGAAAAAACTTATCGTCCCGTGGTCGGAGAAGATCGCCATCAAATTGAAAAACTTAAAAGATCTGGAATGCAACTAATGTCACTGACTCTGGATACAGATTTTACATTTCGTGGTGAAATTTATTCTCAAAATTGTTCTGTTGTGAACAGCAAGGGAGACATCGTTGCACTGACGAAGGGTACACGTACTTTTAAAGTTTTTAAACGTTCAGGGGAAAGTCGTATTCTATGTGAAACTCCCAGGGAAAAGCCTGCGTCAGAATGGTACGTTACGGCGATGGATATCGATGCCGAAGATAACCTATACATCATCACTAGATTCCGAGAAAGCGATGATCATTCATGGAGATTAAAATTGTTTATCTTTGATAAGAATGGAAACAAAAAGCTTAATTCTGCGTTACCTTTTCATCAAAACTCTATAGATGCAGTGCGCATGGCAATAAACAAGGACGGGAAGATTGCTATTTTAAATTGCGACGAGAATATCCTGTATATTGGTGACGTATGTGTTGAGCTGAATTCGTTTAAAGTCGACAAAATTTTTTCTTTCAGGGAGTTACCTATCTGTAATCATGCACTATTCTCAAGTTTTGATGGAACAATAATTGTTGCAGGCCGGGAAACTGTTTATATCTACACAGAAAACGGAAGGTTACAACGCGAAATTAAGAAACCCGCAGGATATTATCGATTTGATGATTCCGTTGCAATAGATCACGTCACAAAACGTATCCTAGTTAAAACGAATGTTTCATCAGGATATAGTCTGCTGAGTTTCTCAGAAACTGGGGAACTACAAGACAGTGTATGTTTGGGGACCAGCGAATGGATTAAGTATGCTGAGCTAAAATCTCATCCAAATGGTCCAGTTGCTTTAGTTGGCGAAACACGAATAAAATTACTTCAACTGTAGTAAAATTACTTACATGGATGAAAATGTTGAAAAATGAGCTGAACTTACGAACAATTAAACTGAAAGACTTAATTGAACTTTATTCATTGCGTATGCAGTTTTGACTTTGTAGTTTGTAAGTTATTTCATAAGTAAACACAGATCACTTGTTAAACGCAATATATTCATTAAAATACAGCGAACAATGAACATTAAACTGATGAACTTAATCAGATGAACTTAACTAATTATGCAATATAGTTTTGTATTTGTAAATTGTAAAAATATTAATAATACATGAAGAAAATTCAAACGAAATCAGTGTCAAACGAGTTGTTTGTATTGACATATACAGAATCAACGGTTCCTGATTTACATAAACGTCCCCCTCGATTTTCTCAGAAAAATTGGTGGTATGCATATATGTCAAGGATTTCAAAACTAATTTTTTAACTCATTTTTTAACATTCTATCATTTCATACATTGTATTCTAAAAGCCCACTCACACTCACACTAAATGAGTAGAGGTTCAATATGAGCTTCTCTTGATGCTGTTTTTGAATAGCTGGAGTACCTTACTAGTGTCGTGCCTTACTATGTGACTACTCACCCTCCAGTTATTCAAAAACAGCATTGACACTCTCAAGAAAAGTTCAGATTGAACCTCCACTCATTGAGTGTGAGTGTGAGTGAGCTTTTAGAATACGGGCGTTAGTCTTGTTAACTACAATTAAAAAACTCATTAATAATTCACGAGGAAAATACAAAAGAAATGAATGTTTAATCAATGTTTGCATGTAAATTGGATAAAGATTTGTCCTGATTTACATAAACTTCAGCTTTGATTTTGTTGGCTTAGACAATGTTTATTTTTAAAATTACTTCGCCAATGAACTCATAAGATGGGTCGTTTTTTCAGTATCGTTTTTTCAGCATTTCGCATCCGATCGTTATCTGATATACAAACTCTCGCCTTCGGCTTGAGTTTGTATCTCAGATAAAGATTGGCTGCTCATGTTTTAACTAGTACTTATTAATCTTATTCTATTATTACTTAATCTATATCCATTGTTGAATTATTTAATCCCAAAGATGGATTATAAATTCAATTCAATTCAAAAAATTTTAAAAAAAATAGCAGTCTTAAAAAATCATTCAAGTTCTAAAAAATCATTCAAGTTCTAAAAATCGACCAGGCGATGTAGCAACAAACGGCGGAATGAAATCTAAAAAATATATTCAACGGATGTACAATGTATCCAATGGGTTTTAAATTTCTCTGAATCGAAGTGTACTCCTCTCCGGGCGTTGTAATGATAATTTCAATAAAAAATGAAATTTCAATCCACAAGCTGACGTTGGTGGTCAGCAAGAATAGAAGACATTGACTGATCCACGTCGATTTCCGACCTTGTGTCGGCTCATGTCGGCGAAGCTTTATCAGTGTAGTCGTTTGAAATACAACTTGCAGCACGGCGAGAGTGTCTGCGGCGATGTCTATGTGGCGAACGTTAGGAAGTGATTCGGGTTCAATACTTGGGTTAATCTCGATTAGCACCAAGCTGTACAGATGAAATCCCTCCCACAGAAGACTACCGACAAGCGAAATGTACAGCAAAGCATCATCGTGGTCCAGTGAAGTTCTCTGCGCATCCCAAGCAAATGACTGTGCAGACAACAAAATAATGTAACATGCAAAAATTTGTGTAAGGTAGAGGGTTATAATTCCGCTTGAATATGCCACGTGATATAGTTGGTATGTCTCACCGATGGTGGCTGACGCAATGACCAAAAGTAAAAACACAACGCCAAAGCAACAACCTACGACGATACCAAGTCCCAAGTTTCTAGAGATACCCGCTCTTATTCCGTCCGCATCACGGCCTTCGTCACGCCGTTGATCCGCATCAACGTTTTCCGCGTTAATTTGACAAACACACGTTCGGCAGTGTGGCTCTGCGAACGAATGAATCGGTAACAAATCTTGCCATATTTGGTAAAACAAACTGGCTGCTATCAACAAATATTCTACGAAAAGCGGCGAAAAATATTTCTCGGTATTTCTAATTGGAACGATGGGGTAGGAGCACACTTCCAACTTGCCCACTTCATCAGAACACAGAGTCCAAAACCACAATGCTAAATTCGTTCCTAAAAGATGCGCCAAGACAACGCGTATTCCACGAGTGTCATCTGGAATTCTAACTTTGTAGAATTTGTTAAGGAATAATGTTTGTACAACAATGTATAGCGCTTTCATAATGTTTACTGTGGCTACGACTTGTTTACCACAAGTTATATTGTAATACGCATTGCATAAACTATAACCGAAACTCGAGAATCCAAAAAGATATAAACCGCCTTGATAAAAGACCCGCATCAAAGCTTCGGGTGGATAGCCCGCACGGAAGTTCCAATCGCGATAAAAAAGAGTCTCTCGTGTATATAACAACAGATAAAGCATCTCCACCATCGCCAGCACTATGCATCCAAGCACGAAATATAGTTGTATATTCTCAGCTTCATGAACAGCGATAGTCCTTAGAGGGACAACTAAATTAATAACCACAGTTATACTGAGAAATAAGTATAGATACACGCTACCAGATTGTCTGAAATCTCCCCGTTGTTCGTTTCCGGCCTGCGCTACTACAATGCAAGGTAGACAAAGGCAATGCGCTAACGCTTCCAGTTTACCACCAAATACTGCAAGCCAGGGACCGCTAAATAGCCGGCACATGTTAGAACAATATGAGTAAAGCGTTGATAATAGACCCAGATACCAAGCACTTTGAGGTACAGGCTGATCATCTTGGATAATATGTTGTCTTTTGTGCAATAAGTGTACGCACTCGTTCAGAGCTGGTTGCTCTTGCACTACGCCACCGTCAGCCATGTTAATTAACTGTTTCAATTTTCTCAGCAACTGCGAGAGGAACTTCTCGACTGAACGATTGATTGGAATAAACTAACAAGCGAAAGAAATCAATGCTAAATTTGAAATGCAATTTCGTAGTATAAAGTCGTTGAAACTTAATATCACTTTACTTAAATGGTTTCCGCCTTCCGGCTGCATTCGAGGAAAGTTATTTCGGGAATTTGAATAATAACGAGAACCAGCACGTAATTGTCAACATAAAGTGGACTCGTCTGGATTTGAACCTGTATATTTATTGCATCGGCGACACTCTGTCAATTGAAATATAGTCTGGAAAGCCAGCAAAACTAGCAGTCTCTATATTGAGCTACGACAGTTTATTCGCTGAAACTTGTTATAATATCTTCGAGATTGTTTTCTGGGAATTGAATTATTGTGAAGGGTTACGGTAAAACGCGGATGCGGACGGACAGATGACGGACGGATTTTAAGTGCAAAATGCGGAAGGGTAAAATGCAGATCGATGGACGGATGTGAGGGTAAATGGCTACTAATGCGGAAGGGTAAAATGCGGACGTACGGATGTAAGTGTAAAAGGCGGAAGGGAGTGAAATGCAGACTGACGGATATGAGGGTAAAATGCGGAAGGGTAAAATATGAACGGGCAAAGGGGGACGGACGGATATGAGAGGGTTTATGCGGATATGACGGTCAAATGCGAATAAGTCTTTGCAAGCGTTTGTTTTAATGCATAAAAATTTACGCAATTTTGAATGATTGTCTAAGAACAACACAATTTCATCAGAACAGTGCCAAAAGAAAGGAATTCGGTGCAAGCTAGCGGCGTTTTGACAGCTGAAAACTTGTATTAAGTTGTTTGTGCCATTCAAATGAAGGAGTAAGTAAACTATTTAACATGTGTCTCTTTCTTCTGCATAATTTTTTCATGCATATTATTAATGAGTATTAATATGGTTTTCGTGCAATTTAGAAAAGCATACACGTTGTTTGAAAGAAAAAAAGATCTGAGAGAAAACAGGACAGATCCAAAAATGAGTAGAAACATCTTGTCAAAGTATTATATAAAAGTCTCTCATTAGTTTTGTCTTGTCTTGTTTTGTTATTATTTTTATTTAACTATTCGCCCAAAAAATTACATTAACAAATCTGAAAATAAATATTTACAAAAGTGGCCTAGAGGCCTTTATTTAAGACCGCTAGATTACAAATTGACTAATTAAAATATGTGGTGCCAGTCCAAGTGTTTGTCAAATTAATTTAAGATATAAATATAGTTACACAGAATTGCCCCTCGATAATGGTAAGTTTTCCATAATTTTCGTTCCTCTATCTGCCTGACTAAAATGCAGTGTAGATAATCAGTTTGTGGTTCAAACATACGCAACAGAGATTCGGAGAAATCCTTTACGCACTACGAACTTCGCCAGTTTCAAACAATGCAATACAGTACTAGGTTTCAGTTCTGAAAATGGACCACGCGATTATGCAGCAAACGGAAGAATGGAATCTGAAAAATATACTCAACGGGTAGACAACGTATCCAATGGCTGCCAAATCTTGCTGCATTTGTACATATCTTTCGCCCGGTGTTGTGATATCCACTTCAAAAAAGAAGGAATCCTGGACCCACAAAGTAAGATTAGTTATCAGCAGGAACAACACGCATTCGCAAATCCACACATTGTCAGATTGCTGACCTTGCGTTCGTTGATGGCGGCGAAGATTAACTAACGTAGTTGCTTGGAATAAGTGTTGTACAATTGCCAATGCGTCTTTGGTCATGTCGAAAACTCCAGAACCGTGGACGTGGTTTGTTAGACCATTCAATATCAGGCTATAAGCATGAAAGCATTCCCAGAGCAGAATTCCTGCCAGAGAAATAAACAGGAGTATATCTTCGTGGTCAAGCGAAAAGCGTTCGGGGTTGCGTTCGTGTGATTGCAAGGATAATTGGATGGCATAACATGCGCAAACTTGGGTAAAGTATAGAATGAAAATCCCAACAGCGTATGCTATATGGTAACCTTGATGGCTTGAGCCAGTCTCTTTCGACATTAGAACCAGAACTATAAACAGCACTGCAAAGCAACCGCCAATGAAAAGGCCGAGTCCCGAGGCTGAATTTGTTTGATCTGATATTGACCTTCTACGGTTGTTCGAATTCCTTCTCTCGGACTGACTGTTTTCAAGCGTATTACTATCTATTACGTTGCAATAACAGGTACAGCAGTGACGTTGCGGCAAAGACGAAACCGTATCTCGCGGTGACAATTTTTTCCAAATTTGATAAAACAAGCTGGCAGCTAGCAGCAGATATTCCACGAAAAGTGGCGAAAAGTACTGCTCCGAATGGCCAAGTTGTATGGGGTAGTGCATACAGTCTTCCAGGGATTCGTCAGCTTCTTCAGAACACAAAGTCCAAAACCACAACCCTAAATTTGTTCCCAGAAGGTGCGCCATGATAATTTCAATGTACGGGCTGTCTTCCGGAATTCTGGCTTCGTAGAAATAGTGAAGGAATAGTATTTGTAGGACTGTAAACGTCGCCTTCATGACCGTCAAAACTGCATATAGTACTTGCCCGCATGAAATATAGTCGAACAGAACACAAACACTAAAGCCAAAACTAGAGAACCCGAAAACATAAGTTCCACCCTCGTAAAAGACGCGTAATAATGTCCCGCGCGAGCGAGGAAATTTCACGGTCTTGTATACGTATAGAAATATATACAACATCAGAATAATCGCAACGAACATACTTAAAATAGCAAACCATTTTTGAATGTCTTCAGCCGTTGATGTGCGAATATTCTTCAAAGCTACTGCCAAATTGAGTACGACAGTGGTGCAAAGATATACGTACAAATACACGATACCTGTTTGTGGTCTGAAATATTGACGGCGTCCATTTAGTGCGCGCGTCAACACGCAACATGGCAGACAAACGCATTTCCAAATCGCTTCGAGTTTCCCCCCAAGAAATGCACACCATAAACCGGTGAATAACTCGCGAATATCCTGCCAATAATCAAGTAAGGTCGATGATAATGTATAGTACCATTCCTGCCGTATTATGCCTTCTGCAGGAGTGACAGATCGTTGACTTCCTTCGCTGGTATATCTTGATCGAGAATTTTCCGACTGTAATAAATACGATGACACGTTTGATTCGTTCGAGTCTATGGTCCTAATACTGTCCATGTCAGGTTTTCAAGGAAAACTGGTCCCTTTATGTCTTATGCAGATGTAAACAATATTACCTCAGATTAAACTACTCGGAAACCCAAGCAGGTTCGCCAGAAGTGTTTTATATTTTTTAGAATGAACCAGCTTATAGCTTCCGGGCTTTCTGGGTAATACAAGTTACAAAGTTCAGACTATATAGTGAGTTTGCGCAGCGAGAAACAATTTTCTCTTGTGATTTACCGAGTGTTTGTTTGAGCTGGGATAATTTTGACATATTGAAATAAGTCACGGTTCACAGTATAATTGCAGCAATAATAATCTTCTCGAATCACGAGATCGCCAACAACAGACCCATCAGATTAACCGGCGTTTGAACCTTCATTTACTGTTAAGGTCGTTAAGCCTATGGTATAAACTTGTACCAGATAGCTTTTCGTAGCGACGTGAAAATACACCTGCCCGTACCTTTTAGGAACTATTGCAACAGCTTCGCTCAATTTGCTCAGCTTCTGAATGTTGTACATTCTGTATCAGTACAGCCTATAGGGACTTTTTCACGCCGCTACGGTAAGCCGCTATCTTGTATTATTCTTGTACAAGTGTAAACGTAGCCTAATACTGCATAGGAACATCACAAACTCATAAATCATAATTACATGTGGCATATTTAACTAAGGGATTTGATCAGTTTGATCAACGATTCATTATTTGCCAAAGACAAATGAATTCTTAAATGTATCAATACTTAGAACCTAGGATGGGTCCGAACACGCTCGTCTATATATATAAGTCGGTATCAAGTTTGCGCAACTATTTCATTGGCATATGAATTCCAATATTTAAAAAATGTAAAGCAATTCATTTGATCAATGGTATCTCAACAATATTACGAAGTCGGAAGGAATTTCAATTGACAAATCTAAGCGGTTCATATATAATTTAGATTTTTTCGTTTTGCAATAATAAAGTAGGGGGAGGAATAGCTTTGCCCCCCAACTAATGGAATTTTAAACAAAAATTGCGCTGATCGGCCAGTGATAATCCATCCTGAGTCACGGATAGCATCGACTCGCAAATTATAATGTAATAACAAATTATAAAAGTGAGAATGCCATTTCCGACGACTGCAAAGTTTCAAAAATTTCTCTGGTTTATAAAGTTTCCTACGGCCCAGTGTTGTGAATTATAAAGCGCTTGTTTATTAGGCGTCTTTTGAAAAATCTAGCGGGTTCTTGCGTGTTCTCATAATTATTCAATTCCCGGAATAATTTTCTTCCAATATAGCCGGAAGGCGGAAACCGTTTACCTCAAGCGATATTAAGTTTCAACGATTTACTAGGAAATTTCATTTCACATAGCATCGGTTTGTTTTGCTTATTAGTTTATTCGAATCAATCGTTCAGTCGAGAAGTTCGTCTCGAAGTTGCTGAGAAAGTTGAGAGTTAATTAACATGGCCGACGGTGGCGTAGTACAACAGCAACCAGCTCGGAACGGATATCAAAATTTGGACCGCGGACAACGTAATATCCCAGCTGACCAGCCTTTACCTCAAGACGTGTGGTATCTCGCTTTCCTAGCAACACTATGTTCGAACTGTCGTGACATGTGCCGGTTATTCAGAGGTCCATGGCGAGCAGTATTTGGCGGTAAACTGGAAGCATTAGTGCGTTGCCTTTGTCTACCTTGCAATGTAATCACACAGGCTGTGAATGAACAACGCGCTAATTTCAGACAATCTGGTATCGTATATCTATACTTATTTCTCGGTGTAACTGTGGTTATTAATTTAGTTGTCCCTCTAAGACATGTCGTTGTTCCTAACGCTCAGAATATACAACTATATTTCGTGCTTGGATGTATAGTGCTGGCGATTGTCGCTATGTTCTATCTGTGGTTAAATACCCTTGAGACTCTTGAATATCGCGATTGGAACTTCCGTGCAGGCTCACCACCCGAAGCTTTGATGCGGGTCTTTTATAAAGGCGGGTTATATTTTTTTGGATTCTTGAGTTTTGGTTATAGTGTGTGCACTGCGATTGACCATATAATATGCGGTAAACAAGTCTCAGCGACAGTAAACGTCGTGAAAGCGTTATACATTGTCATACAAAACCTATTTCTAAATCAATTCTACAAAGCTAGAATTCCAGATGACACCTATGGAATACAAGCTATCATGGCGCATCTTTTAGGAACTAATTTAGCATTGTGGTTTTGGACTCTGTGTTCTGAAGAAGTCGATGAGTCTGTTGCGTGCAAAAGCTACCCCATACCGCTTGGAAATACCGAGAAATATTTTTCGCCACTTTTCGTAGAATATTTACTGATAGCAGCCAGTTTGTTTTACCAAATATGGCAAGATTTGTTACCGACTCAGGCGGTCGCAGCGCCACACTGCCGAACGTGCGCTTGTCAAGTTATTGTGGAAAACGATGATGTGGAAAACGATGATGCGGAAAACGTTGATGCGGATCAACGGCGTGACGGAGGTCGTGGCGCGAACAGAATAAGGAGGAACTTGGGACTTGGTATCGTCTTGGGTTGTTGCTTTGGTGTTCTGTTTATTATCTTGGTCATCGCATCAGCCGCCTCTGGTGAGACGCATCCAATCTATCACGTTGCATATTCAGGCGGAATTATAACCCTCTACCTTATACAAATTGTCGCATGTTACATCATTTTGTTATCTGCACAGTCATTGGCTTGGGATGCGCAGAGAACCTCACTGGACCACGATGATGCTTTGCTGTACATTTCGCTTGTCGGTAGTCTTCTGTGGGAGGGATTTCATCTGTACAGCTTGGTGCTAATTGAGATTGACCCAAGTATTGAACCCAAGTCACTTCCGAACGTTCGCCACATAGACATCGCCGCAGACGCGCTTGCTATGCTACAGTATGTATTTCAAACGACCATACTGATAAATCTTCGCCGACATCAGCCGACACAAGGTCGTAGAACGACGTGGATCAGCCAATGTCTTCTATTCTTGTTGACCACCAACATTGGCTTGTGGATTGAAAATTCATTTTTCGTTGAAATTATCATTACAACGCCCGGGGAAAAGTACACTTCGATTCAGAAAAATTTAAAACCCATTGGATACATTCTACATCCGCTGAATATATTTTTTAGATTTCATTCCGCCGTTTGCTGTCTCATCGCCTGGTCGATTTTTAGAACTTGAACGAAATTAAATCATACACACACTTTATAGGGCTTCGTACGATTCATACTGCAGGGGCCGATTGTATAAAAAAGTGATTAACCATAGTTAAGTGGAAACGTCATCCAATAAGAAGCGCGTATTTGAGAGTTATTCACTATTTTAACTACAAAATAGTGATTAAAAAAGTGATTAAGACTTTTATACAACCGGCCCCAGAGTGTATAAAAAAATAGACAATTTCCATTTTTTGTGCGACCTCTATTATTCAAATGTTTCTGGGTTGGATTTATTGGGGGTGAGGGGGGAGATAAGGCGGTGCGCCCCTCCTAGCCTCAAAAAAGGGGGACCCCTCTCCTTACATGATATACCTATTAATAATATATCGATCCCTGAAAATATTCGTCTAATAATTCCGATCAACAATGATTAATGATTTTATCCAATATTGCCTAAAATGTTATAGAAATTTATTTTGCAAAATTTTCTGTATAGATAATCAATATATGAAAAATGTTCCTATTTTATCATGTTGTGTATCTTTTAATATTGTCAGATAAGATAAGTTTCGTTATTGATTATAATACTGTTCGGAAACATCGCTATCGAAGGCAATATGGCTGTGAAACTCATAGAATAAGAATAACAATATAACTTATATATTATCTATGTTAGTCAACGTTTATTCATAAATCTGGTCCTTCACCGTCACGTGCGCACATGTCCCACTTTGGGTGTAACACCCATGTTCCACTATGGGTGCAACAATATATAGTTGACAGATCAGACATTATTCCTTGAATTGAAAACCATGGTCAGTCAGAACACTATATGTTTATGCACATGCAGATTTAGCACAAAAATACTCCGTTGGTTTGCAGGAAATTTTTGTCTCCAGGTTGTGCTCCCAGGAAGAAAATTATTTTTTCCTGCCCTGATGAGATCTCACTTTATGCCGAGTGGGAAGCGAACAACAATTTTCAAGTAGCCAGTAGTTTTTTATTACTTTTTTAGTAAAACAGTAGCTGTAGTTATTGCTAACTACATTTTGCCTAAAAGTAGCCAAGTAGTTAGTTTACTACTTTTCAAACGGCGAATCGCTATTGGGGGTCTGTTATAGTTTGGCGGTTAGGCGGTTTTGGCGCATTTGAGATGGCGGTTTTCGGATCATCTCAAATTCTCAACTTTCGTGGCGGTTTACGGTGAAGAAGTAATCACTCGGTAATGGAAAATCGTTGAGCATAGACTATATATATATAACTCATAAGCTTAGCTCCATTTGAAGATTGGCTGCCAATTCACAAAAATAAAATCTAATGAAGCATAGTAAATTTGTCATTGAGTCAGGCTATCTGCTATAGAAAAATGGTCGAAACCTGCATGGGGGAAATCCGCGGAACTGGAGTTCGTAAATTTTACAGATAAATTCTTACGCAATATAACTGTGGTTTACTATGCAGTGTTGGAAGTTTCAATTTATTATCGTTATTATTTTGAAAGTATCAATCATGTTGGGTTTGCATAAAGTGCGGGCCATGCATGCGAGGCACCCAAAACTCGCGAATCACGCATGAATACAGCAGCGTTTCTATTAGATCAAATATATATTTCGGTACAAGCACTATGAGTCTATGTTATACTGTATATAATTTTGAAGATAGCCGTATCTTCACATATCAAAATCGACAATGCTTCGTCGCTCGGGTCGCGCGCTCCTTCCCCCGCGCCCTCCCTCCCCCATGGTCGACTTGTGCATGGCAAGTCTATAGGTCTTATTAAACATTTTTATATAAACATGCATGGCAAGCGCACTGCAACTACTAAATTCAGCGAAACTAACTTTACTGGATAGCTTTATTTGTTGTAGACTGCATGATGTTCTCACAGAGGTCTAGTGGTCCATTGTAACTATATAGACTGGACGAAACCTAAACTGGACTTAATTTATTTATACTAGAGGGTACTAGCTTGTTTAGTTTAGATCTTGTATTTGTCCTTACTCATCCACTGTTATTCTTGCAAAATATATACTTAATTCTTCATTGTCAACATTCGTGATATATCATGCATGCATTTGGTTTTGGAATTCCACCTCCATTAATTCGTATAGTGTATTAAATTATTTTAGGAGAAACCTACTAGTAGGCTATCACATATCGTGCCTTCTGATTGGCTACGCTACTAGTAGGTTATTAGTGATAGCCTACTAATAGAAAATTCAAAATGGCGGAAAATTCGCGTTTTGCACTTTTGGCGAAGTGTCTGATGATTTTTTGGACGACTTGTTGAACAATTCTGTACTAAAAAAAAAAGAAAAAAGCAACAAAAATATGGAATGGTAATTTTTAAGGGTAAGAAAATAGACAAAATAACATACACTCAATGAAATTTTAAAATTAAAACTGAATTTTGTAAAACATTTTACGCGAACAAAAACTAAAATATTTGTTTACCTTTAATGGTTTTATAATGTTTTTTGTGTGTATTTTTTGTGTATTTTTGTGTCCACAAAACAAAACAATTATATTTATTTTTACCGTGCGAACCTACGTCAAGGATTTTATTGACGTTAAGTATTTTTTTTTATTATAAACGCCGGAACTCTGAAGTATTTTGTTTTTATAATTTTAATTTTCTTTGTTCAGAAATGAAGGGCGGCAAAACATTTCAATTTCTACAGACAGAATGTCTGTACTCTCCCACAAGCTTGCAATAATAGTTAGTTATAGCTACGTGAAGTATTGAAATTCTTTTGAGAGATTTGAGCATGTGTTCTATTTGGGTCTGCAACTTGCGAGGAGCCCTGTATTAGAAAAACTGATGACGGTTACGGTTTTCACGAAGAAAACACGGGCGATTAACGGTGAAGGAGACAAAAGTAGGACGGTTTGCGGAGCGACCAACCCCCCGTATAATAGACTCCCGCGAATCGCTATTCGCTACTTTGTTAGCAACTTGATAGAATATAGAATGATATTAAGACAAGGTTTGCTTAAAATCAATATAGTGGCACTCCTAAACACTGTAGTGTTTACAAGGGGTTTACTTTTGCTACTCGTAAGTCGATTTGTTACTGATAGGTTACATTGCATGCAGCATGAGTCAATAGACGCTCCAAGACCAAATGCAGTAAAACTAAAAAATAACTAAAAAATATAGCATAATAATAATAATAATAGTAATAATAATATAGTAATAATGATTTATTGGTAATATATCCACAGAGTGGCACTTCGCTTACCAAATTATATAAATTATAAAGTATTCATAAAGTCTATAAACTATTTTATGAAGATTACTGCAATATAACTTTGAATATATATAACACGTTCGACAGGACAAAATATTACTTACAAAATTACGAATTAACTAAGTTAGAACAAAACTGTACGAAACTTATATACATTTAAATATTTCTTTCTAAGATTATCCAAGTCTTGACCATGCTTTCAAGACTAAGAAATTCTTGGTCTCATTGTAGAATACTCTGTAGTCTCTGCAGTTCCTGATTTCTTCTGGTAATTGAATGGTTAGCAATTGCGTAGCAAAATAGTTCGCTACATTTTTTAAGTAGCAGCAGTAGTTGTAGCCTGACTACATATTTTTCAAGTGGCTGTAGTTATAGCGAACTACAAAAAAATTTGTAGTCATGCATGCAACCACCCTTGTAAATAATTCATCTCACTTAGGCGAGCTTCCCAGCAAACTGCGCTTGTATGAACAGGTCCTGTGTTGACTTTATAATTGACCGGCAGGAAATCTTAACCAGACTCCAAGAGTCTTTCAGAGTGTATTAAAATAGCCGGTTGGGTCAGTAATATTGAACAAACTTTAAATATGCCAAATGTAATTTATGACTTGTCGAGAAAAAATTGCCTATGGCTATATGGCTTTACCCGGAAGCTGAACTGTGGTTGATTCCAAAAAATTAAAACTCTTCCGGCGAAAATGCTCGGGTTTCTATGTAAAGCGCTTTAATATCTGATCTGAATATATAAGAGTATTTAGTTTTACATAATACAGAAAGAATCCAGTTTTCCTCGAAAGCTGGTCATGGCTACTACAAGCGAAAGCGTTGGAACAGTACACTCGAACGAATCAAGCGAGTCATCGAATTTATTACAGTCGGGAAATTTTGGATCAATATATACCAGCGTCAGCGAAGTTAGCCAACGACCTTCCACTCCCGATGAAGGCAGAATACGGCTGGAATGGTACTATACACTATATGCAACTTTCCTTGAACTTTGGGAGAATATTCGCGTCTTATCTGCCGGTTCATGGCGTGTATTTTCTCGGAGGAATTTCGAAGCAGTTCTGAGATGTGTTTGTCTGCCATGTCATGTGTTAACCCGTGCCCTAACTGACGGACGCCGCCAATATTTGACAAGACCGCAGCCTGGTATTATGTATTTGTACGCATATCTTTGCGCTACTATCGTGCTGAATTTGGTAGTAGCTTTACATAATATTCACCAATCAATGAAAATGGCTGAACACATTCAAAAATATTTCGTTATTTTGAATATGTTCTTCGCTAATGTGATGATGCTGCATCTATTACTATGCACATACGCGACGGTGATTCCTTCGACTCAGTCGAGCGAAACTTTACGCGTCTTTTACAAAAGTGGTATCTATTTTTTCGGGTTCTCCAGCTTTGGCTATAGTGTTAGCGTTGTAATCCATTATATTTCATGCAGGCAAGGACTAGATGCCGTTTTGACGGTCACGAAAGCGACGTTTACATTCCTACAAATACTACTCCTTCACTATTTCTACGAAGCCAGAATTCCGGAAGACAGTCCGTGCATTGATTTTATCATGGCGCACCTTCTGGGAACAAATTTAGGGTTGTGGTTTTGGACTTTGTGTTCGGATGGGGCCAGCGAGATGCCGAAAGGCCCTTTGAAGGATTATTTTTCTCCGCTTTTCGTCGAATACTTGCTGCTCGCTGCAAGTTTGTTGTATCAAATTTGGAAAGATTCGTTGCCGGGGGATGCGAGAATGACTTTAATGGAACGCCACTGTAATATACTTGAAAATAGTAACATTGGTCGTCATTCCAATACTATGAACGCAAGCAATACAGCAAGCAATATTTATATAAGGCCAAGACCACATAATCCAAGCTCAGGGTTCGGTGTGATTATTGGCCTTTTATTTACTGCGCTGTTTTTCGTTCTGGTTGGATTCGCAATTGGATTACCAAAACACACGGACATTGAAGGTTATCACGTTGCATATTCAATTGGGGTCTTCATTCTATGCCTTGCTCAAGTAATTGCATGCTATATCTGTCAACTATCCTTGCAGTCCCACAAACACGACCCCGAGAACTTTTCACTTGACCATGAAGAAATCTTACTGTATTTTTCTCTGGTAGGAATCGTGCTCTGGGAAGGCTTTCATGCTTACAGCTTAATATTATGTGGTTTTACAGTGTTTGATTTTGGAGGGGACATTTTAGCCATAGTACAAGACTTGTTCCAAACAGCGACCATAATCAATCTCCGCCGACATAAACGCATGCAAGGTCGGTGCGCTGTATGGGTTTGTGAGTGCGTGTTGTTCCTGCTTGTAACTAATCTTACTTTCTGGGTCCAGGATTCGTTTTTTATTAAAGTGGACATCACAACACCGGGCGAAAGATTTGTACAAATGCAGCACGATTTGGGAACTCTTGGATATATTCTCCATCCACTCAGTATATTTTATAGATTTCATTCCTCGGTTTGCTGCGTAATTGCGTGGGATGCTTTCAGAAATAAACAAGAACGGTTTGTTGGCGCGTAGGTGGCGATAATAGGGAGCTTATGTTTGACTACGGCTACGAATTCTAGTACGACTATACGAGATTTTCCCGTTAAATATCTGCTCCAAAAAGCTTAAAACTGTTTTAAATATTTGCTAATTAATTGCCAAAGAGAGGACGATAGCAAGTCTCAAGTAGCAGAAATTTAACGGAAAAATCTCGTAGTCGTACTAGATCTCGTAGCCGTAGTTTCTTGGTAAAAAATTTGTTTATCCAACCGTTAAAAAGTCCAAATTTTTTTTGCCCAACCTCAAATATCAGTTAAAAATACCCACCCCTGACACCCCTGGCCAAAACTTTACAAAAGGATACCATTCAGTTGTCACACATGTCATGTCCTTTACTACTTCTGTGACATGAGTTTGATAACTGCTTGTGCAATTTTCTGCAGTCTAAAGTTTAATGTTGGCTGCACAATGTACTTTCTTTGCCATCTCAAGATAGTGACTCTGATTGATTTTATGACTGTTGACATTGCTTTTTAATTTTAGTCTTCAATATTTGAGTGAGTGATGCTTTGGAAATGACAACAAATTTTTATTTCCCAAACCTCGAGTTGTTTTGTTGCTCATTTACCCAACCTTTTACTCACTCAAAATTTTGCTTCCTCGACCCTTTTCTATAATATTCTGACACTGCAATAGACCAACGAAAAATTCGTTGTCTAATTAGAATAATATGAAATTGGTTTTTCGTATCTCTGAGGATGGTTCTGAAATAGAATTAAAACACTTCGCGTCCTCTAAGACAAGCGTTAAGTCGTCACGAAAATATTTCGTGCACTTAAATTGGATAAGACTCGCTACCAATCCCCGTTAAAAACTCGATAGCTCGATGGGTAGAGCGGCGGTCTAGATACCCGAGTTCAAATCCCGCTCGAGCCAACGAATTTTTCGTTGGTCTTTTGTAGTGTCAGAATAATATGAAATTGGTTTTTCGTATCTCTGACGACCCTTTTCTCTTCGGTGCCACCTGGCTCGCCATAATTAAATCATTATTTAAGGTCCTTAATGGCCATTGGCATTGCATTGCTTGAAGCGGGGTGGAAATTCCAACTTTATTAGTGAACCTGTGAAGTTCTGTCCTTCTGAGAGTTTAAAATGCTTTAGTTGCTATTAGAAATTAGATGGTGATTCGTCTTGCATACTTCTGCCAGCGAATTAAGTTATGTATCAATGTGGCATGCATAGACCTATTCCCTAATGAACAATATTTCGATCTAGACAAGTCTGGACAAAAATTTCATCACAGCTTGAAAGAGCATCACAAAATTGGTAATATTCCGGAAGTTTCGTTGCGAAATGTTGTAAAATGCGGATAATATAGCCCTGCGAAGTTTGCCGTTTTTCAGAAAGCGGTATCAATTTCCAGCGCGTAATACAAAATGACTGAAAAACGGCAAACTTCGCAGGGCTATATTATCCGAATTTGCAACATTTCGCAACGAAATTTCGGAATATTACTAATTTTGTGATGCTCTTTCAAGCCGTGATGAAATTTTTGTCTAGACTTATCTAGATCAAAATTTTGTTAATTATTTTATTTTGTTCATAGCCATGGCCCGTAGCCCATAAGTCCATTTCTCATCCAAATTCACCCAAAATGAAATCAATTTGTCTTTGGGCAATGTCCAATGTCCATTATCATTAGTTATTTAGTACCACAGATTTTCGTTTGATATTTTTTTTAATTATTGTGTCGACAGACACCCACACAGACACACATAGTGGGATGATAACATAACATCCTGGCCGAGGAAATAAAGTTATTGGGCAATGGGGCGGAATTTTTGAGCTGAAAAATTCCACGCAAAAATTCACGTTGAAAATTTCCGCATTAAATTCTTAGAACTGAAAATTACGTATTCCACATCACATTTTAAAAAAAATCCTTGTTTTGTTGAGCAGTGAACAAAAAATTCCATATTCTACAAAGAATTTGCCATTCCAAAATTCCGCCCCATTCCCCGAAGAATTTATTTACAACATTTAGTGTTTGCACCTAATTCAACACGCATGATGTCATAACTTTGACTGTTTAGATTGACTATAGCCTATCGAAGGTAAGATGACTGTGAATACAGATCAGTGAACTCATTAGAATAACAATATAACTCATTATCTATGTTAGTCAACGTTTATTCATAAATCTGGTCCTTCGCCGTCACGTGTGTATTGTATTTTTGCCCAATCCACCAATAGCAATTGTAATTTTCCTAAAACAGGCGGGTATAAAAGTTGGACCAGACCTCTAGTCTGCATTGGGTTAGGCAAAAGAGGTTAGGGTCAGCTTTATTCCGACTAGCAACCTGGTCCAACTTTTCTACCCACCTCCTAAAGTCTATGAGACCACTTCATTTTGCATGAAAAAATATTGCCTTGAAGAAAATCAACCCAACATCAAAATATTTTTACCACCACAATTATGATCTTAAATCTCTTCAGCAGTTTCATTTTGTTCAGAGTTTTGCTGCATAATGTTCTTTTGGTAATTCCTTGCCTTCTCTTTCAGAACTGCCTACAAAAATAGTGTACTATGTAACCATCAAAATTTTTGACCATCTCAGGAGGTTATAAAAGAAGCAACTGGAACTTTTTCATATTTTTTGCATTAATTTACACTCCATGTAGCTACTTTTATATAACAATACCTTACTTCATGGGTGCAGGAGTTAATTAAGCTTCAGGTTCACATATACCTGCAGTATGTTGGTGGGCTATTGTCGTTAGCAGTTCAACCAAATAATTCACAAAAAAATGTATGCATCAACAGCTGTAAACAATGACAGCGCAGGCATACCACAGGCATATGTGAACCCGGCTTGACGCTACCTCCATAGTATAATTAAGTGGCCTAATTATACTCCAATTCAAAACTTTATAGTTGATCAGAATTTAGAGAAAGAATGACTTAGCTAACTTTTCTAAACCTATATAGACTATATAGTTACTGGCAAACAAGTATTATAATGATTAAAAAACTTATGGAGCTATCAAGCCATCAAAGCCTGGTGTTAATGGCTGCTTAATTTTGTGTTAATGCATGGTGCTTTGTTTGTTACCGGCACAAACAAACCTCTGTTCAAGGATTGGCAACTTTTACAAAATTAAAATAATTACAAAAAAGTCTATACTGGCCTTACTGGCCAACCTATAGGTTCCTATAGGAAACTATAGGTTTTTATAGGCAATAGGAAAATTTCTATAGGTGACATATAGGAATCCCTATAGAGTTTTATGGGTGCCTAAAGGCTTCTATATAGGGAATTGGAACATTTCCTATAGGCCACCTATAGACTTTTTTCGTAAGGTAAAATGTACAGGTATGTACCTTATGATCATTGACACATTTCCAAAAACTGTCCATTTCCGTTTGACAACCTCCAACCCAGCTGGTTTTATAACATTCCAATAATATCTTGTGTTTGGTTTCACATGCGGCTAGGGACCTGTACGAATTTACTGCATGGTTAGTTTACATGTAGGCAGGCACAGATTTTTTTTTTGGGGGGGGTGTGCACCCCCCAGAAATGATTTGATTTTTATAATGGTAATAGTCATCTGCTTGGTTAATAATGGTTGCAGCAGTGAAAATCAAATTTGAACCTGTGTATCGTTGGCTCAACACCACCATGTCTTTTTGATACCTATATTACATATCTACCTATTCTCACAGGGGGGAGTGGAACTTGAATTTAATGGTATTCATCTACCTTTATACAAAGTACTGACTGGGATATTTGAAATAGCACCCCCCCCCCCCTGCCAAATTAAGGATTTCCATGCACTTACAATGATTTTATAACCTCATCTTCATCTCTCTCTCGTTTCCTTTCGTCTGATTCTCCAAAAAACTTGTTCAAAACATCTCCCAAGCTCATAACTTGGGCTTTGAGAACCTCCTCCTTTTGAAGTATGTTTTTATAAGAATAGTTAACCGTGTTTCCACATGTGAAAAGTAGAGTTTCCATCATTCATTTTTCTGGATTTTTTAAGATTTTTCTTGAGATCTCGATAGAAATCACTGAGCTATATAGAAATCTATTAATTTTAGAAATTTTTTAGAAATCTGTTAGAAATCTTAGAAATCTAAAAAAATCTTAGAAATCTAAAGAAATCTTAGAAATTTAAAAGTGGCAGCACGAGATAAAATTCCGCTGTCTAAAAGTACAGTCAAGACAAAAAACATGGTGGAAAAACTTTGGACAAAAATTGAGAAAAAGTTTGCAATTTCAACGAGCTAAAACTCGAAAACTTTATGGAAATTTTGTTTTATTTAGGCGAATATTTGTGCGTATGGTTCTCTTCTCGCAATGGCACGCCCGCCAGATAAATTTCGGTCACGTTTGAAGCAACTTTTGGGGTTGAAACGGGACACAAGTGGTTCACTTTCCCCACAGCTCCCGCCAATTGTTGTCGAAGAACCTGTCGAATGTGATGAACTTCTTAAGGTAAGGATTAGATTAACGATACAGGTATGATAACTGCTTGCAGGAAGGCATACTATTAACAATTTTTCACAGGTCAGGACAAAGTATTGGACCATAAGACCACTGGTGTCATAACACTGTCACTGTCAGCTGTGTGACTCTGACGTACTGTCAGATTATAAAACATTCCATCCTAAACAACACGCCTCAATGTGTTATATATATATTATTGTATTCAGACAATTCAGTCAGTTTTTAACAGTACACAATACTAATTTGAAATTTCCATAAAATGCGAAACAAAAACATGAAACAATTTACAACACTCTTGGGCTGTCTAAATTTCAAATTCCTTCACCTTGGGGCCCAACAGCAGAGTTAATCAATACCATGAGTCCATGACATCTTTAGGACTTTAGTTGGCAAATTAATGTCCCAAATTGTGCACTGCCAAATCATGTTGAACCTACCTAAGGCCAATGGAACTGTAGATTCTGTTTAGCGTCAACTGCCCGCATGTGCTTGCAAATACCGCAAGAATTTTTCATTATTCTTAATTATTTTCATTATTTGTCATTATTTTTAATTTTACGCATCGAAACTTTCAAATATACATCAAATCATCAAATCTTCAAGAAAATTTTAACAATTCTTGAGGGTTTTGCCTATAAGCTTCTGAGATATCAGCTATGTCTTTGACTCAGACCGTTTCATAAAATGAAAATTTCATTTTGAATAACACACGCGGGCAGGTGACGGTAAACTGATACCTCAATTCTACTCACGTAGGATGAATTCTCATGGATTTCTCATTGATAAATACATTTATTTAATTATGTTGTAGGAAGTCCACCCAGAATCAGGCAACAGTCAGTCGTCGCGTGCTCGTGTTTTGAAAGAACTGTGTGAGGTTGTTGCCGCAAAACAATTGGAAGAGGTACATTGCATATAACATTTGCCCCACAACACACCCACAACACATTGGTGTACAAAATTTGATTTTGAAACAAACATATTAAACATATCTGCCATTTGATCTGTGAGACTGAAAATGGCTGAATTTTAAATTGTAATTAAAAATTGAGGTCAAAACATTAAAGCACAATTCAAGGGTAAAGTTCCAAGGCCCAAGTTCAATGGCCCAAGTTCAATGGCCCAAGTTCACTGGCCCAACAGGCCAAGCAAATAGTATGGTACTCTTTCTATCTAGGTTGGTTTTGGGCCAACCGAGAGTACTATTGTATTCACAGGGCGCAATGTGACTCAATGGGTTAGCCTCTCTAACAACAACGAACAAAACTGAATAATTATAATACTAATAGGAATAAAAGGAATAAAATGACTGACCTTCAAAAACACTGTGAATTGTTTATATTTTGTAGCATGCAGTTGAAGCTTTATGGTTGGCTGTCAAAGATCTGCTACAACCAGAAAACCCAGCTGATGTCCGACATATCACACTCCAGTTTCTAACATCTCTCGTTACTGGACAGGTCAGCATAATCTTAAAATTCTTATTACCAAAGGCAAATGTTGTTTAACCCCCCTCCCTTGTTATTTAAGGGGGGTTGAACCATTTGGAAAAGGGGGAAGGGGCTTTAAGACTACAGCTACGATAAGTACCACAATAAATATATTTGATTTTGTATCTTTGTATCACAATTTCTGTTTCAATTATTTAGTATGGAAGTCTCAAATTGTTGCGAGCTCACTTCTTCAAGGTTATTGAAGCTCACAATGTCCCCGATGATTTGATGCACCGGTAATAACTAGTTCATGCAGCTTCTATCATTCCCAAAGTAAAAGATTTCATATGCGAGTGGTTCAAGTAAAAATGAAACTGTTATGCATAGCATACGGAAAATGACTTTTTTACCATTTTATAACCAACATAATGTCAACAAATACATATGTTAAAAAAGTCATAAATTCTCCGTATTTCAGAGAATTATTATTTTTGATATATGTTGTGTTAGTTGACATCATTCATGTTGGTTATGAAATAGTAAAAAAGTCATTTCTGTATACTGTTCGTTTCGTGTTTACTTGAACCACTCACATATTGTATTTTCTTAAATTAGCAGCTCAAAATGGATTTTGTTCTTCTATAGGTTACTTTTTTTGAAAGCTTTGACTCTCGAGGGAAAAGATATTCTATTCTTTGAAGAGCAAATTGGTACGTTTATTCATAGGTTTATTTTACAATTCAAAAAAGTTGTCCTTCAAAAATCTTAAACCTTAAACATTGAGCGCACTATGTAGAGTCTTATGCCTGTATTCTGAAAGCTCACTCACACTCAATGAGTGGAGCTTCTCTTGAGTGTCAAATTGAATGCTGTTTTTGAATAGGTGGAGGGTTAGCGTCGTAACTTACTACTGTATGTGACTACTCACCCTCCAGCTATTCAAAAACAGCATTGACTGCACTTAAGGGAAGCTCAGATTGTGAGTGAACTTTTAGAATACATGTGTTAAACTCAAGTAACTCTGGAAATTCACTTGGCAAAACAATGCTAGAGCATATATAATGAACACTTTTGATGTGTAGGGCTATTTGTGTCACTAAGTTGATGTCCAATCTTTAATTAGGTTCCAATAGTCAGTATACCCATCATATCTTACGTGCTCAATGTTTAATTATAAGGTTTAAGATTTTTGAAGGACAACAATGTTTGAAATTGACTGTATAAAACACCTTTTAAATTTGCACCCTGTATGAGTGAAAATTGCGTTTTAAGCCTTCCATTTTTGTGCGCAAGCCATTTTAGATTTGTCTTTTGGCGTTTGTATTTAAGCTACAGTAATTAGCTCAGCACTTTTTTTTGCATAATCATATAGAGGGCAAAACAGTTATGGCTGTGTGACACGTTGGTTAGTATTGTATATTATACTTTCTGTTTTAACAGGCCCATTTTTATTGTCCTTGA